GAGTTTCCCAACTATTTTTCATAAATGTCTCTGTAGCAGTGCTGTCTTATAGTTGCACAAATTTAAAGTTCTCAATATTATCAAGTGAAATTGTTTTTTTAAGGTGGATTTAAGTGTCTTCTGGTCTGTAAATTCAAATACTTATTGATCAAATTATTGTACAGGGTGTTTACGAAAGAGATATTTATTATAAGTGGCTTTAAACATTAAAAACTCAGTTATTTTAAATGGTTCGCCCAGTATATTTTAACATTATTTGAAGAAACAAGATAGATATTCCTAAATTTTTCATCCCTGTTCATTAAAAATGTTTGTGGTTAAGACTTGGTATTACCCTTTAAAAGCAAAATATTTTATTTTTACATACCCAGCCGTTACCGGTGGCCCACTAAGGGCGACCTCCCTATCCCCCTCCCACAAGATTAAAATTCTTACAATCCATGAGCCTTTTATGTTAAAAACAGCATGGCTAATGACAATGGTCCTCTCCAAAAATTCTGCCTGGAGCCACCCTTGTGACTCATTTTTTATAATGTTGTGTTTTAAGTATGTTTTAAATATTTGAGGGTATGACTGTTCGGCAATTCTGAGCCCGACATATCGAGACGTACTGAAAATACAGCTTATATATACAGAGTAGCCTGAAGAAAATGTACTAGAGCCATTATCAGGACCCCGTCAACATTTCAGACAAATATTCTAACCTGTCAATTTTAGAATAAAGGGATCTTCCTATTATATTCGACTCTCTTTCGTCATTCCCCTGCCATACATTAATCAACAAGTTAAATAGGGAAAGTACCAAGTATGACACATTGATTAGGTAAATTCATAGAGAATTCAAAAACATGCCTATTTATTGCACTACTTTTAATTTTAACGCCCTCTAGTGGGACAAAAACAAACTCTTAAGTATTTTTAAGTGTGATATTTCATTTGAAAGCTAATTTTATTAATTAGTTAATGCAAAATATAATTGAATAAAACATGAACTTAAATCATTGAAAAATAGTTATAATGTGTAGAGCACATAAACAAAAAGTTAGGGAACAAATTGGGTTCCTTCACATAGTTTTAAGTGATTTATCAATGTAGGCTAAGCGGTTAGTTTTTAATACAATGATTTTACCTCATTTTAATTATTGCAGTTCTCTTTTAATTACGTGTATAAATAGGATTAAACTACAATAAAATAAGGCAATGAGGATAATTTTAAATTGTAGTAAATACACCGCTGTATCTATAATGCTAAACTTATTAGGAGCATTGTTTGAAACAAGCAAATGTAATATTAATTTTTAAAATAGAGCACAATCAGTCGCCAAAATATTTTAAAACATTCATGAACACTTTAAAAGCACAAATCAACATTTTAGTATATAATTTGTGAGAACGACAGTGAGGGTATAAGACTATATAATGCACTACCTGAAAATATCAAAAGATCATCAATCATTCAAGTTGATAAAAAGGTATATAATTATCGTCAATAGGGTGGGTGACTCAGTTGTCTAGACTTTCGGATCCAAGAGTCCAAGGTTCGAATCGCGCCGGTGCATACACGGCAATCATTCCTATTTAGCGCGCCAATAAAAAAATTGATATTTTAAAAACATGTTTCTTCCACACACTATTGTTCTGTATATATTCGTGCTCTTATCTGGGTTTAAGCCACCGAGAACCGCGGTTAAATCAGAAAGTAATATGGGTAGAAAGAGTGCGCTTTAAATCTTGAGTGTGGTTGACGCATACAGTAGCATGCGAACACTTGTTGGAAAAGTATGTGCTGCTGTTTTCCAAGATGGACTGTGAAGCTTCATGTATGTAGTTCTTATTCAAGTATTGACAATGTATTTATTTTTTTCTTGCCTATTAATACCGACAGCTTTTGGTGGACTTAATTTTATTCATTCTTTTTTGTATACGCCTAATTTGTGCGAGGGCTACAAAAAAAGTTCCGGCAAGTTCCACTCTCGTTCTCTATGTTATAGTTATATAAGACCTTTATCTTTAAGAGCATAAAAAAAATTGCGTCCCCTACTGTCCTCTGTCTGATACAAGTTATTTTGTTTACAGGTAGTCGTAACAATGTTGATCTGCATTTCCCCTCACTCACTAGAAATGTACTTTTTTCTATTCTAAGAAGCGATAAATTCATTAAACTGTCGACTGCTAAGTGTATTGAAAGGGTAGAACAGTACATATTAAACAAATTTAATGCATCAGAAATTCCCACGTGCTTGGAAAAATGTTTTAAATGTACTATAAAGATATTCGTGTCGAAACTTATCAAAAGAAGATATGCAAAAGTACACCTGCAAGATTCACCAAAAAAATATGCTTTATGGCTAGATAGAAAGATAATAATTCCCAGATTAGACTCTAATATCTCCACAATACCCACAGCAGAAGAAGTAAGAAATTATCAAAAACGTGGAAGACCAAAAAAATCTTTTGATGAGAGCTCAAAGTTAAGAAAAATAGAACCTCTTGTGTCAAGCATGTCCAAAGAAATACTTTGCAAAGCTGTGGAAATGAGTCTGTTTAACAGTGGAAAAAAGAACTCGGGCGCAATTGTGAAATTAGCTATAAACTTTTCTCCGCGCACAGGGAAAAAACGAAAGAAATTCATAATTCGTCATCCATGGCTATGTACACTCCAGAAGAAGCATTAGCTTGTAAGGTTGTATCACTCACGGTAGACATCGAGATTAGAAACGGTCAGACACATAATGAATAGAATGCTTTTGTCATCAGACCCCGTGATTACATCGTTCCGACAAATACAAAAAAGCGAAATAAACCCTTTTCAGAAGCTGTACATAGTGATATAAATCCAGATAATGACTGATAATTCTGAATAAAAAACTAATTTCTGTTTATTACTTGTATTTCAGTTAATTCATAAAATAATGATGTAAAGCATTCTCAAAATGTATGTGCATAATTTTCTTGTATTTTAGTACTGTTAGGTATTATAAATAATTAAAACTTTACGCCTTAATTAGATAATTATATAAAAATTTAATTTATGAACCATTTTTAATGCATTTCTATGTGAAATGTGACACCCTGGCAGTATATTCAACCACTTACATTGATCTTTCAATTAAATCTAAGTAAAAAAATTACTTTCCAAAATATTTTTGGCAAGCTAATTCCCGCTAATTGCCGTATATGCGGTGACAGGATTTTTACTTAATTTCATTTATTAAAAATTATTCCTAATGCATAGGACCATTCACTGCTGCTCATAAAGAGACGCTGGGAAACAGTGGCGAAGCCTGCACAGAACACGAGGCTAATAACCTTAGTAGTTGATGCTGACGACAATGAATTAAACAAACATTATCGTCTGACTTATAATATATAATTTATTTAGTATTTAGCTATTAAGTATAACTATGATTATTTGTTATCACTAGCTGAAGCTAAATAAAATTTCTTTCAACGTTAATAAATACAAACTTTAGACAATCAACTAAACTAACAAATTTATGTTACGCCTTAAAATATTAATAAAATTAGCTTTCAAATAAAGTGTTTACCCTGCTCTGCAATGAATAATAATGCTGAATTCTCCATAAATAATCTTTTCATGATGTTTCATACTTGGTACTTCCCTATTTAAATTGTATTAGTTAGAGTGAAGGATGAGAGGGAATGACTTATGATAGAAAGATGTCGCAGTTTAATCAAAAACAGATGGGTCCTAAAATGTTTACGCAGTTACTTATAATGATTCTGATATGTTTTCGTTGGAACTTATTAAAGAAGAAATTCATACAGACCTGTAGGGTGCTCTGCTGCTTTCTTTTGGGAGCACCTAAGAAACGAAATATTTTGAGAGTACAAGGATACACAATCTACCAAAAAATTTGGACCGATGTGTATTTCTGCATCAAAAAATAGCAATTCAAATGACGAAGATGAACTTGAAACCTTAAGAAAATCATTTTCTGTTTTTATGTTGCTGAAACTTTTTTAAACTACATAAATTTGATCATCCCAGTTCACGAGATGAAATAAATGTTATAACTGCAATTATGTTTTTACCTCTTATAAAAATTGCCACGTGAAATTCAGAGTTTTTGCTGTCATATTTTTTAGATTAAGATTGTCTAACGGTAGAAATCTTTTTCGTCTAAATGATTCGTTATTATACCTATTTAATTTTAACGTACAAATACGTAAAATTTGTAAATAAAAATTAGCGCAGTCATTGAGGATTTCGTCTCTAAACAAGTTGCTTCCATTAATTTTGGTAAAACCCAATCTCCTGTCAAATTTGTAACATTCTGAATAAATGTAGGCTTTATTTTGTAAAAATATAATGAAATTATACAACGTTCAAACAGTGGCATGTTACAAAACTTTTTTAATTTTCGTTCACTGTTAACTACGCTCGTCTACAAAGAACGTTAAGGTTTATTTATAAGGACGTTAGTAAAAAATTATAATAATGCAAAGTAGTTTTTTTGCGGCTTCTTTTTTTGTAGAAAGGGTAATAGCAGTGAATCGGCTCTAAATATTAATTGGTATTCCTGAGTAAGTGTTTAATACACCATTACAAGAATACAGAAAATGATAAACGGCTCATAGTAGAGTGCTGTAAAAGTTCTGGTTCAGTACAACTTCTATTTGGCTCTAAATGATCGAGTACTTAGTTAAATTATCTGAATTTTTGATACGTAGTAGTACTCTATCTTCTGAACATGGGGTCCAACTCCATCATAAAACTAGTTTTTGATATATAGGGCATTTAAGTCGCAAACTGGACATTTTTTAAAAAGGCAACACTTCTTAACAAAGCACTATTTTTAAAGAATAATGCTTTACTAATATCAAACAATATTCTCAGTATAACTTATGACGTAGATTATTATTTATTACAGGGTGAGTCACAAATTACTGAAAATGGAATTTAGATTTTTTAGCATGAGTATATTCTCCAAAATAATATCACTGACCCTCAGTTTAATTAATCGAAATTCAGGGTTATCATATTTTATAGACTCTTGTTTAGAAGATCCAGTTCTACAGACAATTTCCTTACAGAAAATGGTCCTTCAAAAATATTACCGTGAAAGTTGGTCCTATATAAAAAGCAATATTTTCAAAAATTGCCAAAAACTCATTTAAGGTTTTTTATTTTATATCATGTGCATTGATAGCGCATTAATTTTTTTTACACGACGGACGTTTCGTAAATGCAGGACCACCATCAACTTCTTTATTTGGATACGAATCGGTATTATTCAGACAGATTACTTTAATGCATGTTCAATACTGAATACACTAATGTAAGATTCTAACATTCTAATTAGTCAACATTTTAGAAGATTTGAACATCAAATATTGGTATAAACAGGATGCATCTTATAAGCAACAATTTTTACAAAACCAGAACCTTTAATGCCAACGTATCACCTTTTCCAACACCCCACTATCAGCTACAAACAAAAAATCAAATCTGTTTAATTTTTTTTCTCTCAACATTAATCAAACATTAGTAAACTACTTCGAATAAAAATTGTTCCAAAACGGACGAGCCACTTAGCTGGTCAACAGTGCCACGTTGATCTCTTTCACCATTTTGACTCTGTGAAGCATCTTCTCGAGGGCTTCTTTGGGCAACGGCATTGTAGAATACCATACTGGACTATCGGGTACGCAAGAGCGTTCCGGCTGTAGGTAGAAAACGTCGTTCCTCGTTTTAACACTTTCAGGGCTAAAAAAAGGTTGTTAAATAATTATCAGTAACAAAAATAGTTCGATGATTTCCCATTTTTTAGTCTATCCGGGATAAAAAAAAATATTCCGAAAAATTGAGAACCTTCTCCTTTTTTTGAAGTCTGTCAAAAATGCCTAAAATGTTGAAACTACATCAATTACTTACCACTTAGACAAATAAAACTCGTACAGCTTCACAGGACATCTCAATGGATTCTCTTCATTTTCTTGTTGTTCATAAACTTTCTTTTTCCTTGCGTTGTTTTCTGCAAAATTTTAAATAAAAAATCACTTAGAAAATTGGCTACTTTACTATTACTAACTTTGTACTCATACATGGTCTTCAACAATACTCGTATTCCAGTAATACACAAAACGCATCGACAATGCATGTTTAGATCTTTTACGACAATTAAAGTTGTCATGTTGTCAAATATGTCACTGACGTTAACCTATTGGTTAATGCATCTTAACTAGTCAAAACCTAAGAACATACAGTGTCGGCTATCGAACGTTTTCCAATATGTTTCGCGTATGTCCACGTGAAAACTGAGAATGAGAAGACACGAAAACCTCTTTTAACACATACCACATAAGGTCTCCTTGAAATTTCATTAAAAAATTGAATGAATTAGATTTTTCTCCTTAATTTTTGCGATAATCGAGTATGCAACGCAATACTGTAATAAATGAAAACCACCTTTAATTAATCACATGCTTTTTTTGTTGTTCTCATATTTAAACTGTATTTTGAATTAAAATATCTATGTACTGGTTTATATCTATTTTGTTTTTAGAATTAATTATATGTCAATTTGGTCACATGGAATACAGGTAGTCTTGAAAGACTCTGCACAAACGCAGTACATGTAAGTAAAATTGGCGCAGTAGCAGGATCGTTACTTTGTCAATTTAACCAACATCATAGCTCCTACACTAAAAAAGTTTTACTTACGTATAGCACTCTGAGGTGGGTAAAAACGGAGCAGAACGTTCCTTGAACCCGGTACTTTGGAAGCTCCGGGTTGATTCGGATTCCTCTTCCAATGTTTCATAATGTGAGAAAAGGATAATTGCATGTGCTCGTCGACACTCTGTTGACAAATAAATAACATATTATGGGTAATAACAATTTTCATTATAGATTCTTTACCGTGAGATTGAAATGCTTGGTGTTGAAGAACATCAAAGTGCTGAGTAAAACATGAGGCGAATGCGCCCCCAATTGCTTGCTTTCCCACAAATGTTCCTCCTCGACTCTTGTAACAATATAATGAGAATCATTGTACAGAACTGAAAACTTCTTGGCCACCTCGTCCAAGCAATCTGTGAATTTTTCGTAATAAGCATCGCAAAATATGTTGTCTATGCGCCCGTTCTCGAATAAATATTGCTGGATACCTAAACAAAGGTAATAAATGGTGTCTGGGGCATATTCCGCCCCGTTAGGCTTCCTCACTTCTTTAACAAACAGACAGAGCGAGTAGTTTAGTTCGTCTGCTGTCAATTGGAGTATTTCAGTTTTGAAAAGCTTCACCATCATGGAGGATTTTTCTAATTCCGTGTTTTTGGTCGTCACCCATTGTTTCCAAGCGTTGACGCCGAATGTATACTGAAAAAAAGTATCATTACTTATTTATTTATTCATATACGGATTTCCAGTACATATTAAGAAAAAATACAAAATTAATTAATTTTACACAATTTATATACGAATCGTTTATTGTTGAATGGAGGCAAGTGACATTTTGTAAGTTCTGAGAAAAACGCTTACCTCCTTTCCTCATTAATCGCAGTCGCGTACTTAGTATTTATGTGCATATAACGCACCGACATTTGCAACCTTTTAACACTAAATGATACGGATATTAAAAAAAAAAAAAAAAAGAAATTCTTACAATAATTCGAAACACTAGAAAATGGCGCTTGATTGTGATTAACTTTATCAAATGCTTTTGAAAAATCTGTGTATATACTATCAAATTGAAAATTGTTTTCAATGGCATTCAAAATGTGATTTGGTAACAAAAGATTTGTTGAAATTTATATATTCAATGAGAAACCATGCTGTTCCTGAACAATATTTGTTTTGCTGACCAGGCTAATTGTAGAGAAATTAATTTATCAAATAGCTATCAAATTGAATCTCCTTCGTAATTTTATATACTTTGTCTATCAATATCCAGTATCAAAGAATGTTATTGCTTACCTTAAGACACATATTAGCGTCCGGCTTTTCTGCAGGCTCAGGCGGTGGTGGTGGTTGTTGAACTTGGTGATGTTGCATCATTGGCATATCAACTTGGTGATGTGACATCCTACGTCCGCGTTTAGCACCACCTCGCGGCTGTCTCATACCTCTCTTTCTTCCTCTAGCGGCTGGATTATTCCTGTTGTCACCGCCCATCATGTGGTGATGCATTGGTTGTGGATCGTCAACGTTTTCTTCAGTGCCTGGATGAGGTTCGCCACCTTGAGCTGCTATTGTTTATAAAGAAAATTGGGTAAAGGATTGTGTTGATTTTAATCATTAAATATACCCTTACTGATGCGAATAAATAGCTAAACATTAAGAAACAGCAAACAGAAAACTTGTAAAATAGACATCAACACATAACGATATAAAGAAACCTCACCTGTAATGGTATTGGCAGTTAGTGCACCTTCGAGATCAACAGCGGGTTCGTCTAGCTCGGTAGCCATTTTGAGGGCCATCTGAAGCATGTCATCGCCGAATGTGTTACTGGCATCGACAGGTTCAGGGCTGTAGCTGTCTTCAGGACCACCGGTGTCGTCTACATCGCTTTCGGAGTCCGTCAAATCTTCTTTCTTTTCTTCCGCAACCATCTCGGCCATCATTAGAAGCTCAGCTTCATATGGGTCTGTGGGGATCTTCACTTGAATTTTCTAAACGAATACATTATAATTTGTATAACAAGATAATTGGTCAATTGTGGTTAGAATGTTATCTTTAGTCTCAGATCTTACCTTGATTTCCTTCATGATGCCTGCTGCCGAGTTCCTAGTGGTAGGAATAAAGATGGGAATCGGTACCGGCAAAGGAATAGGCATTGGTACGGGTGTAGGAGTACTATACATATGCATGGGAGTCGGTACATATATTGGGACGGGTACAGGGATTAAAATCTTTTTAGCCTCCCTCTCTTCAGTTTGAACTTCTTGGTCGACCATCGTGGGCTTTGCAGTAATACCCTTGTTCAATTTACGAGTATAGCACATTGTGCTGACGTTTCTTTGTTCAGGGATAGGAGCGGGTCTGACAATGAAATGTTGTTTGATTTGGACTTGGAATGGTATGTCTGAAAAGGAGTTTATTACTTGAGGCGAGGAATTCATGACTGTTGGAGTCACTGATGACGATTTCGAGCGAGTACTTCGAGTTGTTATGGGCGTAAGACTGGGTGGTACTGTGGAAGTTGGTACCAAACTTCCGTTGGTCGCCAAGCTTTGTACACTCGATATTACTGGTAACTGATTTGGGTCTGGTACGGTTGCGGCTAAAAATTTAATATTAATTTAGAAAAAATTATAAATAAAGAAAAAAATTATGAAATAGAATGAAATTAGTTTATAACATATTAATCAAAATTAATGTTATTAATGGTAATAATTCTGTGTGCAGGGTCACTTTTTAAATTAAATCTATTTCGTAAACCGTTGGTAATACAAAGTTGGTTAAATGGGGCAAAATTGTATATTTCGAAGCCCAATCAAGGACGTTTTGAAAATATCAGGGTCAATTTCCAAGATATTCAATAAAAAACAAATTAGTTCCATTTCTTTATTCCACTACAGAACGTTTATTTTCAAACATAGACAAAAACTTACGGATTTTTGTTTGAATTAGTAAATCCTGTACGAGGGTGGTTTGACGGAAGAGTGACTTTTCAGAGGTTGGCAACACTTTCCTTTCCTTTCGCTGGGTAACTCAAGTCTTCATCTTAATGAAGACTTGGAATTCTTTATTTAATATATCTACTGCTCACAATTTAAAAATAAATCCGTCCAAATCTACAGCAATGTTATTTGGTGCAAAAAAAATATAAAATCAACTATAGATCAATTACAGATTACAATTGGTGGCAATGTTCTTCAGTTTGTAAATGAAGCCAAAAATTTAGGACTGTGGATTGATTCCGAGCTTCAATTTACAAAGCACGTAAATTCATTGTTGCAAAGTTGTTTTACTGTTTTGAGACAACTATTTCCTAGCCGAGACTTACTTTCCACACACACTAAGCTAAAACTTTGTGAATCTCTTATTTTTTCAAAGATATTTTATTGTGACTCTATTTACGAACCTGCGCTATTTCAATATGACTCTCTACGTTTACAAAAAATTCAGAACTGTTGCTTGCGTTTCGCATTTGGCATAAGAAAATTTGATCAATTTCACACAAAATGATCGAATCAGGATGGTTATCTTTAAATAACTACGGGACACTTCACTTATTAACATTAGTTCATAAGACATTAAAGCTTCAAAAACCCGATTATTTATTCAAAAAGTTAATAACGTTTTCAAATATAAATACATTATCTACGCGCAACAGAAATATCTTAGTCATACCTAAACACCAAACAGCATTTTTTAAAAGATCATTTTCTTATATAGCATCCAAAGAATATAACAAACTTGGGCCAGAAATTAGATCCTACAATTTAGTTAATTTTAAGAAGCGTCTAAAAGAATATATATCTAAGAATAGAACCATAAGTAATACAATTATTAACAACAATTCATGGCAACTTGTAGGATATGAATATTGATATATTGAATATATAAATTAATTTGGCTTAAAAAAAAAAACATGAATATCCTGTATGTTTTTTATTTATTTTTTCCACGATTTAAATATGTATTTTTTTTTTGTTAGGTTAAGTTGAAAAACAGTGAAAACTGAACTTCGCCCTTTCATCATTTTTAAATATGTTTTTCCTCGCATAATTTACTGTATATTTTCCTTTTTAAGTGATGAATAAAGTCCTGTTATTATTATTATTATTACTTTCGCTACGGTGATTATATTGGTAATTGGTAGTTTCCGCCATGTTTCTGATGTCATCTCTCAAAATTTTATATGACAGATAGATTAGTTTTAATATTCATATAAAGAAAACAGCTTTGTTACATCACGATAATGCGCCTGTCCATTCGTCCGCTATTGTTGCAGAAAAATTAACTGAACTGCGTTACGATTTATTGCCCCGTCCGCCATATTCACCTGATCTGGCTCCCTCCCATTACTTTCTGTTCCCAAACTTAAAAAAATGGCTTGGTGAAAAGCGATTTCAGAAAAATGAAGAGGTGATGGCAGAGACAAATGCGTATCTTGTGGAAATTCCGAAAGATAATTTTTTAGACGGTTTGAAACAATTGGAAACTCGCTGGGCTAAGTGTGTAGAGTTAAAAAGAGTTTATGTTGAAAAATAAAATATTTTTTTTACAGTAAAGTAACTTTTTCATTGAAAAGTAACTCTTCCGTCAAACCACCCTCGTATTATCGGTTTTTAAAATATCGAATATTTAATACCAACTTTTCATCTGCGGTTATAATTTTCACAATAATAATATTATTTTTATTTGTTACAAAAGAAAAATAATACAATATGTGAGGCGAGATTTAGCCTGCAGTCACTCTTACATCTAACCCTTGAAGAAAAAATAAAATTTTATTCAATCTATAACATTGGTTAAAAATATATAACTAAAATATTTTTTTAAATAAATTATTTTCGTTATTAGTAATACAACTAACTAAATATAAATCTTTTAAAATGTAGTTAGTTGCATTTCAAATTCATAATACAGGTCCGTACTAGTAAGTAAACTTACCTGATGATGTTCAAATCTTCCGAAATGTTAACTAATCACAATATTGTTAATTATTATACTCTTCATTGAACATGCAATAAAATGATCTGTCGGAATAACACTGGTTCATATTCAAATAAAGAAGTTGATGGTCCTGCATTTACAAAACGTCATATAAAAAAATTAACTGTGCATCATATGGATGAAAATAAAACACCTTAAATGAACTTTTCTCTATTTTTGAAAATAACGTATTGCAACAGAATAAAGAAATGGAACTAATTTGTTTTCTAGCGAATATCTCTGAAAACGTCACTGATATTTTAGTTTTCAAAACGTCTTCAGATTGGGCATGGAAATATACAAATTTTTCCTCATTTAACCAACGTTGTGTCACCAATGGTTTGCGAGACAGTAATAAATTTCAATTATATAGTGGCCCTGTACAGATTTTTAATGCCCATCAACTCTTTTTTGGTTTAATTTTATGAAAAATATTTTCAATACCAAATAGCGGCCGTAGTATTTCACGTTCAATAACATAATTATTGAAATTATTTCTTTATCGCACTATAGTAATACAACATCGTTATTTTTAACGAAAAATAAATCTGTAAAAAAATATAAATGATAAAAAATCATGAATTTTTATATCAGTCATGAGGGGCTCGCCTTCTACACATGAAATAGATTATTAACTCTTCTACTGTCTTTTTATCAAGTGGAAACGTACTAAAATTCAAAATATGTTAATTGACAATCTAAATACTTTTTTGAGACATTCTAAAAACCATCAATAAAAAAAATCATTCACGAATGTAGATAAGAATATTATGTAGAGAAATATTTTGTTTATAAACAACACACTATTAAACTTATATGGATTCACCTAGTATTTTACATAAACATTTTTTCATTATAAAAAATTCACTTGCAAATAAAAGAATGTTGTTTTTACTGACAAAAAATGTTTGGTTCGTAAAAAGGAAATAATGTACTTACTGTAGTGTTTATTTTATGGTTTTAGAAGTAACATCGCAGAATTTCTTTTTGTATTAAAAAAAAATGTCTTGTGAAATAATCTTGAATCTGAGGGAAGAATGAGACAAAAAAACAAATTTTGTGCGTTGCAGATAAAGAGGAAAAGCCGGTTTTCTATTCCTTCAAATTCAAGAATAGCTACCCTGATGTGCAGAGGGGAAGAATATTTGCCTTTAGAAGAGCAGGGTATGTCCCGAAGAGCCATGACCCCCACAGTTGTGGTTTCAAAAACCTATTCAAGACTCAGAATTAGGAAATCTAAAAAACAGACATAGAAGAAGTCGCCGAAGATTTACTACCAGTAGCAAGACCGATTTTTAGCTCAAATAGCAAGAAGAAATCTAACTGTAATTCAAAGGCTTCTACAAGCTAAGAGAATAAGTATATAAGCGGAAGCCACTTTGTATTAGAGAATTGTTTAGTAGGAGACAATTAAGAATTCCACACCTATCCAAATAAAACAAAAACCATCGATTAAATTGGTGTTTGAGGCATCAAAACTGAACGATAGAAGAATGGCAAAATGTCTTTTTTTCGGACGAAACTAGGATCCGTTCTTAAGTCTAATCACAAACGAATTCGTGTTTTAGGAGACTGTAGGAGCAGTGTTGCCAGAATATATTTTTGTTACCAGATTCTATAAAATGTACCAGATTCTATAAAATGTACCATGTTTTCGAATTAATTGTGATGTGATCTGGTTCATTGAGTAGCCAAAAAAAAAAGGGGTTTTTAGCGAAAACAAGAAGGAAGATCCAAACTATGGTAACATATCCGTTAAAATTTAGAGGCCTTTAAACATTTAACTTTTAGAGGCCTGTTAAAAATTATTTATTTTAAGTCCAAGTGCCAACGCGTTACCAATGACAAGTGACGACGACTTTTTTATCACAAAAAATACGGCTCTGAACGATATTTTTAAAAATTGTTTTTAAAAATGGGTTCAGAGTACGGTAAAGAATGGTGAAAAGTCTATAGTTTGTTTTACTTTTAATGCATAATATTTTAATAAGTGATATTTAACAAATATTTAAAAGCTAAAACGCAAAATACATTCTTTTATTTTTGCCCTAATTAGTTCAGGAAACTTGTGTTAAGATTTAAAAATTACTGTCGATGAGGTGGTGCCAATTTGCAACCGTACTAATTTGAGATATACGTTGTATTAAACTCATCGTGTTACGTATTTCTTAACTTCGAATGAAAAATCGTTTTCTAACATAAAAAAAAGTTAAGTTTGGTCTTAACAGATTCTCTTCGTATTTAAAATTAATTTGAACTAATTTTGAAGGATTAGAAGAATAAATTTGAAAACATAACCATACAAATCCTCAATTTTTAATTCAAAACCAAAACATACCTACTACATTTAAAATAAAAAATGTCGCACCAAGAACTACTAAAATCCAAAAAGAGTTGATGCTAAACTTTTTAGAACAGCAAAATTTACTTCACGGTGAGAAAATAAACCCAATAGATACAACGAAATTGGCATAATACACTAGTGGAAAAAATTAAGAAGTCAAAAAATCTCGATTTTTGCGATTTTTCGAGTGGCTGTATCTTTGGTAAAAATAGTCGTACGTGAATGAAAAAAAAAAAAAAGCAATTTGAAGCTTGAAGGGTCTAGTTTATGGATCTTTTGATAAAAACAAATTCCAACCAACAATTAGCACAAAATCCTGATGAATATCATGGATCCTTCAATTTCTTCAAAAATTCACTCGCATGAAACAATGAAACGGCTTGATGGATCAGGTTGAAATTTTGTAGGGTTTTCGGAAAAACAATATCCTGTAAGATGCAAACTCAACATTATTCATTTTCCAAATATTCTCAATGTGGCACGTTTTTTTTCTAAAAAACCTCAAAAAGACCTGTTTTCCGAAATTCTTCAAAGTCAGGCCTGGGATGAAAAAAAATTTTCTCATGAAAGAACATGCCAGAACCTTGTAGAGAATGAATCGAAGTTTCCGAAACCCCCTTCCATTTTCTGAGCGGCCATTGGTTCCTGAGATATTGACGAGAGAAGAGGAAATTACGCATTTTCGTTCATTTTCTGATAACTCAGCAAAGAAGGGTCATCTCAAGGCCATCAAAAAAAGGAATTGAAGCTAACTGAACCACCTATCCAATGCATATAGTGGTTATGTCGAGAAAAATTTTTTTCAAGTCCGTACACTAAAAATTAAAAAATTTTCTATCCATGATATTCATCAGGATTTTGTGCTAATTGTTGGTTGGAATTTTTTTTCCGCAAGATCCATAAACTAGGCACTTCAAGCTTCAAATTGCATTTTTTTTTTCATTCATGTACGACCATTTTTACCAAAGATAAAGCCACTCGAAAAATCGCAAAAATCGAGATTTCTTTGATCCCTTAATTTTTTCCACTAGTGTATTAACTATAGTTCTGGCGAAGGAATTGTTACAGAATAGACCCCAATATATTTAACATGCGTCAAACGGTAACACGCTATAAAAAAGAAAAAGTACTAGACTTTGCTTCCAGCATACTAGGGTACCAGATTATTAGAAAATGTACTAGATCTAGTACAATTGTACTAGACTAGCAACACTGAGTAGTAGACAAGCCAGGCTTCAAGCTGCCCCGGCCGATTCAGATTCAATTAGAGCGCAAGATTTAAAGGTTCAATAAAACTTGTTTATTTGAAATAAAGGATTTAAATACTTATTGTATTATAATGTAGACAAGGATTTGTTAGCACCTAGGTACTTTTTGTAAAATTTTTAATAACGTTGTTGCATGTGACGATATTTCATTGATACAGCGTCTAAATTCGGACTTCAATGCTTCGGTGGTCGCAGGCTTGTTGGCATAAAACTGTAACTTCAGATAACCCCACAGCCAAACGTTTAAAAGGTCCAAAGGTGCCAATCGCAAGAGTATAGTAGCCAATTCACGTCGCGGGAAATCACACGATCAGGAAAAGACTCGTGCAAGACAGTTAATGTTATAGGGGCTACATGGTAAGTGCCACCGTCCTGCTAAAACCATGTTTACTAACTCCCATCTGTCTCCTACTGACCTGAAATGCCATACTTGTGTGACATCACGACAGCTAATCTGGCGCGCAATTCAAATCTTGCGCTGTTATTGAAACGCCCTTTATAAAGGAGAACGGTGATGTTTTGAGGCTGGATCATGCTATGAGAAAGAACTCCCATGCAAAAAACTTTAACTGTACAGAGGTATTTATATTTGGTGCTACATCTCATAATACGACTACGAGACAGGTTGGAGCTCATCAAAACAACCATTTGGGAAACCCAGAACAACTAATTCAAGCAGTTCTTGAAGAATGGAGGTACTTTCTTCAGGAAGAAATCGACAATTTTATAGAAAATATGCCCTGATGAATTCGTGCTTGAAGCAAGGGGTGGAAATACAGATTATTAAAACTTATATAATATTTAGAATTTGAATTTATTTAAGTTGGTCACTTAATAATAATTTAAATAGAATCAATGAAAAATAAGCAACCAACTAGGTGTATTCACCTGAGTGTGCTATAGCATTAAAATAACAAACTAAAGTATGAATTTACAGAACGACGATAAGAAAAAAAAACAAACATTTTCCGATGTGGGGTGGAAGTGTATCAGTCAATTTACAAAATCTGCTTAAATAAATTTAAGTTAACAGTAACATATTGTTTAGCTCTGAGGCGAAATATATGTAATTTAGTTATACTTTTTGTTTATCGGTAGCTTATTAAAAATTTTGTGAGCAACTGTGGTTACAAATCGTTGACTGGCGTCACTTTGACACGTTTGTGTCATCAAGCTGTTATTTGACTAGGCTCTTGTGTTGTGGGAATAATGTGTAGCAGTAGTTTTTAAGGGTCTATTTATACTCCCATAAATACTAATAATTGGGGAGTATAAATAGACTCTAAATGTGTTTTTTTATACAGTATGTCCCCCTAAGTTGGAATCATATGGAAAACTTTTTTATTATTGATTTTAGGAAAAAAGTTATTCCTGATACAAAGTCCTGCATGACCCAAAACTTAAAATACAGTCATCAGATATCAAATTTTTCAAGCCGTATACGAGATTTGTCAAAAAATATGAATTTTACTCAAGAGTAAAGTACGTTTATTTTTGACAAAATCGAAAATTTTCTTATTTTTAAAATTTAATCATTGTTGTACATGAGAGCTGTCGGGTAAAGTGATGAATTTTTTTTGTAGATAATTTTGACAATGCAATTTTGTATAACTCTTGAGAGGCTGTAAGGTTGTATCATATAAATCCTCCACCCCCCCACACAATAATCTCATATCGAAGGATTGACTCTACTTGTGATTTATAAATAATTATTAGCTGTTTGCGGTTCATAAAATTTCTCATCTCACAAAATTTGTATATGAATCTTCGTAATTTGGTTGTCTATATGTGTATTATTTTAGATAGTAACTATAATATAGAAATATAGGAAAACGTTTCCATAAATTAAATGTTATATTGGAGAATTGTTTATAATGTTATATAAATAGTTTTTAATCGTATTTAATCACATTAAAAAATAATAGGTCCACGAAGTTAGCACCGCAAAATGCGAATTTTTATAAAATGAAGCCCGCATTCATTTCTCCACCTTTCAAAAGAAAGTTATGACAAAATTAAAAAATTTAAATCAGCACTGCCATAAAAACTTTTTATTCATTTCAAAGTGGCATTCGATTATTTAAAAATTAATTAGTTTGCCTTGGTTGGACAAACGAAAATAATGTGTAGACAAACGATTGCAGTAAATTGCTATTAGGAGAAGTTAAATTAATAATTATTTATATTTTGGGTGCTTTATTTTGTTATTAACTAATTTCTTTTGACAAACAAAAAACGAAGATAAGGCTTGGACAAAAGAAAATAATGAATGGACAAAACATTGCCAAATTTAATTCGAATGAAATGTATTAGGGTTGTCTCTCTAAGGACCATGGGCATTATGATTTTAATTTTTAAAATATCTCCCTTTTGAGGAAATTCGAATATTACTTTGAAATTAATAAAAAGTTTTTATGACGGAGCTGATGTCAAATTTGGCTTAAATTTTTAATTTTCTCATAACTATTTTTAAAAGGTGGACAAACATGTTTGTTGGATAACCGAGGAAAAATCGTGGACAAACGAATGCGAACTTAGTTTTAAAAAAATTCGCATTTGGCGGTGCTAACATCGTCACCGAAAAATAATAGGTATCAATCTATAGCATTACCTGGCTCCGGTCCTGTATACTGTTTATTCCTCCTGGGCTGCCCAGTTGGTACAGGATACGCTAAGTCGCCCCTGTTTTGGGGCTTGGGATATTGATTCTGAAAGCTCAGCACGCAATTGTAAGAGCAGAAGTTCCTAATCGAAGCATCGGACATCGTTAGATGGTACATAGGATGAGTGAGTTTTTGACAGAAATTGCAGCAGATCTGTCTGGAATTGACCGCCTCCACAGAAACCTTGTACAGACTTAGGCAATTCACGCTGCACATATTGATCATTGGTCCCGATTTGGAGTACCTCCTTATCATGTCAAAGTTGTATTTTTTCACTTTGCACCAGCTGCATGGGACAATTTTTCGATGGGCGATGATGTAGATATTTTCGCAACTAGTTGAACAGAAGCTATGCTGCACGTTGTCGTAGTACATTGTGTGTTTTTCGAGGGTGGATTTCGGAAAGTGTCTACGACACATAGCGCATTTTCCCGGCGAAATATTATTCACAAAACTAAAAGCTACAAAGCACGGTTCTCCGCAGAAGTAGTTTGTAGCTCCGTCTAGCTCAAATTCGATGGTTATAGATTTTTCTGCTTTGCAAACAGAGCATATAGTGCCTGCAGCTACGTTTGGCGGCCTATTATTCGTCATAACATCGTATTTTTCCATACAAACTTGAGAACAGAAGTCCTTGAATTGGCCTTTATCGCCTACTGGTGCCAAGAAGCCAGGAGCGCCGCCTGACATGTCTTGTTGGCAGTAAGAACAAACTTTTAAGCCTTTTTTATATTTCTCCAGACAAAGACTAGTGCAGAACTGTCTTATATCGTTGCCGAATCTAACACAATACTTTCCAAGCGAATTTGATTTCACATCACCCTTGCAGCTAGAACAATGCGAACCAGTGTCTTTTTGATATTTAGTTAGACAATATTCGTTACAGAAATCCATAATTTCCCACGTCAAATTTTCGTCGATATTATTAGTTTCCTTGTGGCAAGTCGCGCATTTTCTGATAAACAACAATGAAGGTGGTTCTTTGGAAACGCCCGAAAAACTTTTAACCCTTAAGCCTCCTCCTTCTTCCCAATTCAATGCCACTTTGTCATTTTGATTGCTCTTGAAAATATTTAAACAGTTATCGTCGCAAAGGTACCTTTCTTCTTTGTCATCTTTAATGGAATAGTGATATTTGACTTTGCGTTTCTAAAATTAGATTAATTGGAGCTACTAAAACAACATTGGATATTTGCGGGACTTACCAATTTACATTCATTGCAGATATGAAGTTCATCATTGTCATATTTGAATATGACTATCGGCGATGTGATTGCTTGACCAGCAGGTATTTCTAGATTGTTTTCTGGCTGCGTAGCAACACTAGCTTCGCTAATATCACGCAGAGGCCGAATAGAGGAAGCTGCATCTCTTTCAGCCTAGATATAAAAAAAGATTGTTGCAAAAAAGAAAAATGAACCTACACTCTCGATCATTTTTTCAGATCCGTTTCTATCATTCCGTTGGAATGTTATAAATACAATTGATTGAGTATTGGAAATTGTAGATTTTGATTTTTAGTTTGAAAGGTTATAGGTTGTCCAAAAATTGTCCTGTGGATAAGTGAAATATTCTCAAAAAGAAAGTTTAATATATTTATTTATGTATTCAAAATGATTTAAACAAAATAATTACAAACTTAATATTATAACTAAATAAAATAAAAAAAACTGCTTTCTAAAAAAAACACGAAAAGCATAAGTAGACGTATGGAAATTTATCATTAAAAGACGAGTTTGCAGTATTATTTTTTCGATTAAACTGCCCACTTTCTATTAAACGTCAGATTCTTCAGAAATATTTAAAATATCTTTAAATATTAGAAATGAAATGATTCCAACATTTAAAAATTCAACTATTAAATATCTATAATTATAAGACGTACATTCCTGAATTCTTATAATAAATTTAGTTTCAACAGATAGTGACAAAGATAGACTTATAAGCAATAAAGTCCATTAAAGTAAATTCTTTTGTAATATTGGTTCGAAACTTATTTACATTTTTCTGGGGGGTGCATGTACACATGTTCTCCTATGAACGAGCCGCGCCTTGTACGACTATAATTTATTATTTTCAAGGGTCATACTTTTATTACATTTCTAAAGACTTACTCTTCTTTATTCTTCAAAGGAAGCAAATAGTGAGCCACAAAATATGAGTCATGTTTGTGACAATTACACGTGCCTCTTAATTAAATCTAAACTGACACTTAAAAATAAGAATTGAACGCTCGACATACACGAATTTTTCCAGTGTGTGCTTTAGAAACATTTTTTGTGAATCACTTCTTAATTGAGGAGTAACTTTTCAAAACGCATTATGTCCACCCAAAGACAAAATTCTCTTTTTTATGGTTTCAGATTTATTTTCACTTATATTATACTTCTGTAAAGTCAGAATGAATCAAATATCGTAATATCCCTATGTAATTTGAGTGTAAAATATGAAGTTCACATCGAAACGCATTATATAAAACATTTTGAAAAGTTACTCCTCAATTAAGCTATAGTTGATTTTTAAAAAAAATATTTAGAAGAAATTATGGGTTATACAGGAACAAATAGAGAATATAGACTGTCAGTCTATTTATTATGCTGCTTAATGTTGCTTTGTGAGATAAAATATAATGCCAAAAAAGTGCTTCATACCAAATGTTCTAAATTTCTACACATCCCAGGCAGCACACAGTATAACTAACGTATTTTATACGTAATACTCGTTTAATTTTGGTATTGGTTGATTCCGTATACGTTTACAGTTTACGATTATTATACATGCCGTATTTTAAAAGATATATTATACGTTTTTTGTATACATCCTACGGTATATAATTGTAAATTTTCCTACGCTTAAATGTAGTTAACAATATACGACTATTTTTAGTTTGCGATGAACTATTTATATACAGTGGGTCTAAATATACGTTTAGGTTTATTTAAATTAAATTCGTATAAATTTACATAATAATACAATATGTGTTCTTCGTTTATAACTCCCGTTTAAATTTCGTCTTGGTTGATTTTTTAAACGTTTACCATCTACCATTTTTATACTTAACGTTTTTTGACAGATAAACGCTTTTGTTTGTGGATACTAGTTAATATACCTATATTATTCTACGTTTAAATATAAGTCACCTTAAACGCATATTACCAGTTTACGATGAACTAGTAGACAGAAGTAAATAATATGTATATATTTAGGTTTATTTAAATTAAAAGCTTATAAATATATTTATTAACATTACACCATATTTTTTTAATTATATTACCTGTAATATTTATAACAAATTTCCCATTGTACCGATTTCAAACACCCGAACATTTAAATAACCCGCCAATAACCATGGTGGGGTGGACTAGTTCATGTCGTTTCAGTGAGTGAGATTCGGGGTATTGGCTTTAAGCTAAGTCGGGCTGGTCCAAAGTGCGCGTAGTGCAGAGAATCGAGAGGGGAGTAAGGTACCGGCAGACGATCGGGAATCAGCTGACTGATGGTGGCTGGTGGCTGTGAAGGGCTCGCTATCAATCAAACGATTCACGCTATTATAAGTTATATTTCTGTTAACTAGTTGCTAACCACGATAATTGTTTTTATGTAATAAAAAGTTCTTGTAAAATTGTTGGTGTTGTTGTTGTGCCCAGTTGCATTGCATGTTGCTTTGGCGTCCTGGTTTTTACGATATTGGTTACAAGCATAGGTAAGTTTCTATTAATGTTTTAATTTAGCTACTCGTTTAATAATTGTTGCATTTTACAACAACTACTGTTTTATTACAGTGTGTAAAATGCTTATAGAATCTCCAAAACATAACCTTACTTTTGTTTCTCTTATTTTTATACGTATTTCTATACGTATTTTTTAGGCTACCTAGTTATTCTAAGCATACTTATTTTCCTTTGTTTTGGTCAGTTGTTTTTTATTTAATAAAATGTCTAAAATAACCCTGCCCCGGCGTCATCTACTAAGAAAAATCGCACAAAATGTTCAAGATGCTTTAAAGTCAAATCATTTTTTTTTATTCCCAGTGAAGATAACATTAATAAGGCTTCGGACATTAATATATCATCTGATTCTATTATTTATAATAATTTCCTAGAAAATAATACAAATTTAACTTTGGAGCTTTTAGAAAATATTTCACCTGAGATGCAATTACATGTTGGTTATAGGAATGGGGGTGAACCAAGAGACTTAACCGACAGAATGATTAGAAGTGCTATGCAAGATTGGCTTAAGTTAGCTAAGGCCTGTCTAGGACACAACACATCCAAAGTATTAAGCTAAGATTTTAATTTTCATATATATTTTTTGTTAGTTAAAGAAAAGTTTCGTTTAGTTTGTTATTCAGTATTTTAGTGTTTATTTTTTAGTACTTATTTATTTTTTATTATTTTATTGTTTTTTTTTTTTAATAAAGTATTGTTCTGTACATATAACAAGAACAAGTGATCAAAAAAATTTCATAAATATTTAGACCAATTACAACCAAAATAGAAACACGAGTAATACCTATTTCTAGTGTATACACACCTGTTATGGATAAAATCCAAACTGTCATTTAAGAAATATTAATATTTTTCCATGGCCTCTTTTAGAAATTTTGTTTTGATCACTTTATTTAATTTGTGTTTGAAATACATTTAAAATAATATCAGGTAGATGCATTTTACACATTAATAAAATAAGATAAATCTAATATAGACGTATAGTAAAACAGGATAATAAAAGGTAGATAAAGTAGTAATGTTAGACGTATAAAACATAAAAAAATATACGTTTATAGGGCGGACATTTTCATGTATATATTGGGAAGCATATCAACGGTATCCATACGTATATTGTAGTACATAAAAAAACGTCTTTTATACCAAAGTGGATTCGTATAAATATACTACAACTATAAATCTAATATAGAAGTATAGTAAAAACGTTTAATTATAGGTGGATAAATTCTTAGTAATCGACGTTTATAAGGCGGACAATTTCACGAATATATTTGGTAGTACATCAACCGTATTCATACGTATGGTAGTACCTAAAAAAAACGTAATTTATACCAAAGTGTGCTGCCTGGGATATTTCTCCAAAAAAATATTTATATTTACATGTGGAAAAATTATGGTTTAAGGCTGTAGAAGTGTTGTAAAAACATAAAAAATATACTTGTTTTTTTCTGAGTGCAATACTTGAAAAGATTAAACCCCTAAGATACAACTTTACACTGTTGCCACATATCAAAGTAGAAATACAACATTTTAAAGTTTAAATACCTCAATTTCAGCATTTTAACTACCTAGTAATTATTTAGATACAAAAATTTGCTGAGATGTTCCTTTTGTCATATATTTTCGATATTATTTATACCGGGTGTTCAAATTAAAGTGTTACAGTTAAATACCGCCGAAAATATGCATTTTATAAAAAATGTTTCAGACAAAAGTTTTATAGTTTTTTGGGGGAAATTTTTTGGCTAAATTCATTTTTTTTAGCTGATCATAATATGGCCATATCAAGGTAATTTTTTTTTTCAAATTGGAACCCCATTTTTTTACATATTCTTAAAGTTCATAAAAAAATAAGTAATTTTTAAAGGAAACATTTTTTTTATTGGACTTTTACTTATTGAGTAACACCTACTTGAAAATTTTGCTGTGCGAAAAAAAAGTTGCCCATATTATGGTTAGCTATAAAAAACGATTTTAGCCAAATTTTTTTCTCTAAAAAACTATAAAACTTTCGTCTGAAACGTTTTTTTTTTTATAAAAGGCGGTATTTAACTGTAACACTTTAATTTGAACACACGGTATAGTTTCTTTTATAGAAGAACACCCATTTCTTGTTTGATTTTCACTTTTGAACACTAGTTTTTGAAACAATAAATATTATAAAAAATAAATTGACTTTCAAGTTTCTTACCTGTGATATTACTCTTTCTGTATCAGGAATGATACACAATTCTTCATCTGCTCCTTCAGTATCTTCACTATTTAGTGAATCAAAAGTATCAGAAGCAATAGGATCATGTTCTATATCCCTTCTAGTTCCAGAACTGCCATCTTTATCCCCTTCATCACCTTCTTTTTCATTCTCAACATGAACAAATTCTGTATTTTCTCTACCAGATGGTTCAGATGATTTATCTATATCAGATGATTTATCTGTAACAGATGATTTATCTGTAGCAGATGATTTATCTGTAGCAGATGATTTATCTGTATCTGATGGTTTATCTGTATCAGAAGGTGTGTCTTTATCAGATTGGTTTTTGTCTTCAGATCCATCAACCTCCATACTTGTTTCACTGGTACTAGTGATCTTTCCCACAGTGTTTGTCTGGTCTTTATCTGATCCAGGAATAATTTCAGTTGGAGTTCCTGATTCATCTATTTCTGTTGTATCTGTTTTTTCGTCATCTTCTGTGCTTTTATTGTCTGTTGTTGGTTTTTCTTTAGTCCTGTCTTGTTCTTTTTCAGAATCCATTTGCGATTCAGTAGTTTCAGAGGTAAGGCCTGCATTTTCAGCAGTCTCACTTTGAGGTTCTTTATTTGACAGTGACTCTGATTCTGTTGTGCCCAAACCACTGTCTGTAACTAATATTAAATAAATAGAGTAATTCAATGGATATTTTAATTCATGTTATTAATTAAATCATTGCTTGAGGAGTATTCATTTTGGGTAATAGCTAAATGAATAGTGTCATCTACTGATTGCTTAAGTAACCGGTATTGCTCTGTCAATTGAAATTTAAAAGTTGTTTACTCTATAAATCATTATTTCTTATTTTCCCTGTATACCACCAATATTTTACAAAATTTAATGGTTGATTATAAACTTGCAAAGTAATGCAGAACAATTTATAAAGAATATTTTTTTTATGAAATGTGAAACTGTCTCCCATTAGTTATAAAAAAAATTGGGACACCCTGTAAGTATATTTATAAACAGTATTTAGATGTAAATAAATAAATAAATAAATAAATAAATAGATACAAAAGAGAGATGCAAAAATAGTAAAACAGTCATCTATATGCAAAAGTCTGGATTGCTTTTTGTAGGACTCCTACTCCACTCATTCTCACTAAAAAATTAAATACTCTAGCCTTTTATCTTATGTTTTATCTAGTTAGTTTGTATGTTTTTATTATCACATTGTATATTTGTCAGTATCCATCACTTTGGCACTTAGTCTTACTTTTTGTTAAAGTCTACAGTTTGCAAAGGTTTACTTTATTACAATTTATTTAACTACACAAAAATAGATAAATCTTACGACCTGAGATGTTTGAAACAGATCCAAACTCTCCAAATTTTGCCACGGAATGGATACATTGGTTGAAGACTTTTCAAAATTTCTTAGGATCTGTCCCTAGTTCCCAAAAGGGTCTTATTGACGAAGACAAACTAAAACTGCTTTTAAACTACATTGGTTCAACAGTTTATGAATCGGTAAGCAAATGTAATTCTTTCACTGAAGCTAAACATTTTTGGGAATACAATTGTTAAGTAACCCAATGAAATATTGCTAGACATTAATTAGCTAGCAGAAGACAACAAACAAATGAAAATATTGACTAGTATCTCCATGAACTAAAACTGGTTTTAGCAAAGATTGCAAATTTAGAGCGGTAACAACAGCATAACAAAATAAAATGACTTTATATGTAATGCTTTTATGATCAGATTGCTATCAACACACATTTGACATTTGCTAGAGAATAAAAGTTTGATTCTCAAAGCTTTCTCAGTCTAAATCTATAGAGGATGCCTAAAAACACTGCAAACAATATTGAGTTTCTCCAATAAGTGCCCTTAATAATTGCTCTGAAGAAGTGCTTCATTCGATGACTAACACCTCTACACTGGCAGCTGCATCCCAAAATTGTTATTTTAATGGAAAACCAAAACACCCTAGGTCAAAATGCCCTTCAAGAGATCAAACTTGCAGTTACTGTAAAAAAGTGGGACATTGTGCAAAAGTCTGTCAATCTAAATCTACCAAAAAGAAATCTTCTACTGCTTCTACTTATTTTCTTGGAACTTCAACCACCTCAAATGTTTTTGGACTCTCAAAAACAATAGTTGAGTGTACTATAAATGGTCATAAAGCTTTGTAACTTGTAGATACTGATAGCTCAGACAGATTATGATTTTGCAATAAAAAAGGACATTAAAATCCAGCACAGATACAGAAATTAAAGGTTACTGCTTTATAAATTTTTGTTTACTTGTTCACAAATATGTGAATTTAAGAATAGCAGTACTAGCTAACTTATGCTTCAACCTAATTATCGGCCACAATATCTTAAGACATCATACAAGTTTGGATATTAGCTTTGGTGGGCCTAAATCTACTGTCTACCTGCTGTCTAACGGCGGCCAAAGTGTAATGTCCACAATTATTCAGTAACCTTATTCCAAATTAAAAACCAATTGCCAGAAACACACATAGATATTCTGAAGATGATGAAAAATGCATTAAAGAAGAAGAGGAAAACTGCTGGAGGAAGGAAGGTATTATAGAAGAATGGGTATCTCCTTGGCGGGCTCAGGTACAAAAATGAATATCATAAAAAACGTATGGTTGTGGATTATGATCAGACCATTAATAAATATACTCAGAAGATCCTCTAGACCACCCTACTATTTCAGAGACAACTCTCTGGAATAAAACTTGGGGAGAATGTCATATATTTTATCTAGTTAGTTTGTATGTTTTTTATTATCACATTGTATATTTGTCTATTTCAAAGAAAAAATATGATAGGAAGCCTTTAATAACAAACTTACCATTTTCCATAGCACTGTCAGGCTCTAATTCAGGATAACTTTCACTAGGAATTTCAGATAAATCCTCTAACATTGCTAAACCAGTACTGAGATCTGAAGTATCCTTGTCCTCTGAAAAAAACTCTTCAGAATCAATATTATTAGATTCTGGTTGTTTGTGGGTAGCATCAGAACTTTCTGGTTCTTCAGATTGCTTCTCTGTCTGTAAAGTATCTTGTGTAGGTTGAGAACTATCACTGTCTACAGTATTTTGAGAAGAGTTTGCACTCTCTTCCATAGTAACATCTCTGTTTAAAATATTGTTTGTATTATCATTAGACACTTTAGCATTATCACTAGTTAAATTATCTGAAGTAATAACAGCATTAGAAACACTAAAATCACTTTCTGATTCAGTCCAATCCATTCTTTCATCTGCATTATCTCTATCATTTGTCCCTCCACTTTCTGTATTTAATATATTTTGAATATTATCACTAGTATTATGAACATCATCTAACGTATCAACTGTGGATGAACCAATTTTGAAACTGTTGGTTTCATTATTGGATATAACAGGAGAATCAGTTCTAGGCTCTGTATTTTCATTAGATAATTCAGATACTAGTTCATTTCCTAAAGAATTACTACCTGAATGTTCAGCGTTGTTAACAGACTCATTATATGTATCAGTTAATTTAGATTCGAGTTCATTTTGACTTTCACTGTTTTTATAAATATCCGGATTAACGTTTATATTCATGGGTATGTTATTAGCTATGTCTTCGACAGTTTTTAGTGCCTCACTATTGTACTCCTCCATGGTTTCTTTGGAGCACTGATTTTTTAAATTTAGTCAGTTTTTACACTTGCTGGTAGCACATTTCAGGTGATTTCTTGTTATCTAAATATACCCAGGGAAGTTTCATTTTATTTGAAGGGGTCAACAACACAAAAACAAAAATGTTAAAACCACCTTCTTGGATCTTGTTGTGAATTAAAATCCCGGCTTTTTTCCAATGTTTGGTTAAACTTCAAATTCTTCACTTCATCACAGGGTCGTCAAATATAAATAGAACCTTTTCAGTTGTAAACCAAGCCATTACCATCAATTTATAATGCTAAGAATTTGTTGAAACCATAATTTTATTTATATGTAGGGCTCATAATTGCATGTTACAAAACTATGCACTTTTCAACCAAGCCATATAATGGTGGATAGCAAAATAATCAACCAAACAATTTTGCCAACACCTTGACAACAAGTCAGTTTATCTCTCTCTAACCCACAAAACTAATCGTATCTTCCTTTCCAAATCATTATGTAGATCTAGGAACTTTTTTCTATGTCAATTTACTCTCTAAAATACCAACTTAAATTATTATTAATTTCCAGATTGTTGTATTGTTTGAAGAATGTTATTTCAAGCTAATTTTGGTCGTTTATTCAATTCCTTTAGATATTTCGAGCTAACATCAATATTTTTTTATTTAAAAACTGTCTGAAAAGTTATTTATTTAACACATCTACGTTCACTACTGATCGAAACAAAGATTTCTATTGGTTCTAATAGGTCACGTGATATAATTTACTCCCTGACGTCATTAATGTTGTGGGCTCCCATTTTGATTTTACTTCAAAAAAATGTCTAAATCCTAAAGACGCGAAATGACAATTGACAATGGACTTGACAGCTTCCTAAATTCACTGAATTTTCAAAAAATTGTAATACCAAACAAATTATTATTTGAAACTTGAAACCTATTCATTTAAAGTATTTGTGTAGTGAATGTGCTCAGAGTAACAGCCTAGGAACAATAGTTGTAATTATACAGTTGTCACTAAAATGTTGAAAAAAAAATCGTCAGCTTATTTCCTTTGTCTGTTAAACGGGGTTTGAATTGGAATTTTGTATATAAACAAGTTGGTTATCTCTAAGATTACAAATAATTAACATTATTTGTTAGTAATTAGTGTAGTATCAAACTACTTTTTACGTCTTAGAGGTTATAATTGTGATATATTTTCAACACAACATTTTAACCCAATCTAATCAGATTTTTATATGTATACACATCCTGAGTGTTACTGAATCGCCCTTTTAAGATTAGGTACAAGGGTAAAAGGAAGAATAAGAATAATATGAAGAAATCATGACAAAAGACTAATACAAACACAAATACAATGCCCAAGAAAACAATGATTGCAAAGATTTGCCCGACTTGCAAACAACAAGTAAATATATTAATTTAAAATGCTGTAGCTAGTTTTAGTAATCTTGTTTTTCTTTTAAGCCATAATTAGTACTATGTGTCTTTTTTATAGGTACCTGTGGCTTGCAAGTCCTGTCCATGTGGGCATTTCTTTTACAATGCAAGGCGAATTGCTAGAGAATTTGCAATTGAGGCAGACTACAGAAGGAGAACATCTAGGGTAAGAAGAGAGAAACCTAATTATTATGATGCCCTCGAGTATGACAAACACATAAAAAAAGTAAGCCATTTATGTATTTACTTTTGTCCCGTTTTAAAAGTTTGTCTAAAAAAAACAAACTTCTAATAATATAGATAATAATTATAGTAAAGATTGTTTCGTAGATGAAGAAGAGAATCAGTGAATGTGATATGGAAGATGAAGAAGACAACAAGAAAGACAATGGCAGGAAAAGAAGGAAGGTGAAGAAAGAGGAAGAAGAGGAAGATGAAGTGTTAACAAAATTAACCCCTGAACTGGAGCACCACTGTCAGTTAATCCTAGATCAGATCAATATTAAGTTAAAAATGGTTACATGGAAGCCTGCATAATTGCATAATTTATTCACAATTGTTAGTAAAATTTGTGCCCAAGCCCAATGTTTTAAATTAAAAATATAGAACTTTTTGTCTGTGACAGCAGATATAGTTGGTACTGGTACCAAAAATAATGGCAGATTAAGATATATCAGTGTTATTTATTTAATGTGATATATTTATTCTTAAAAATATGCAGTATCGTACATAGCATACTGTTTAAATTCAGTGTATGCAATATATGAAAAAAATGTCAACATATTACAAGATTATTTTTGTTGATAGTGATTGACATAGATGGTAGAGAATAAAATTATTTATTTCCTGTACAACAGAATTGTACATATTTGTTTTTCTTTTACTATTTTCTATGATGGAATATGTTCTGATTTAATAAGTTACTCTGTAATACTCAAGAAAATAGTTATTTTATGCCAATAATGTTGATTATTGTTCCTCAAAATGAACAATTCTTTATTTTTGGAGAAATTTTCTTAGTAAAGGTGATGTGGTTGATCTGTAGTAGAAGTTAAAAAATGCCTTTCTTCGTGTTAAGAGGTCATCTGCATACAATAAAAATTCAGAATTGTTGACATTATCACAGGAATCATTAGTAAACAGTAAGGGCCTTAGAATGGACCCTTGTGGCATATCTGGTTTTAAATAAAACTCATTGTTACCAACTATATTAGGTCGTCACTAAGGGAGTAACTAGGAATACTTACAGATTTGTGTTTTACATAATTCCAAACATCTGTTTTAAATAGTTTTGATGTTGATTAGTGAATAATTGCAGGGCATTTTAGCATATGTGATAAGTTACAGTAGTGTGTAAACTAGTGAATTGAAAAATATTTGAATACTTGAAGGTTATTACTTGGGGGTTGTGCAATGTGCTGTCTTAGTGATGGCACATGCAAAATATTAAGATTTTTAAATGAAACACATTTTATTATTAAAATATATTTAATATCACATTTCTTTGTTTACTAATGGCTTTGAAGAAATACAGGATAAAAAATACTCGAATTGAGCTTACTCAACAGCACCTCTATGATATGAGCAAAAATATATTTCATTGTTCATAATTTAAAATAGCCACTTTATAGTTACATTAAAAAGCGCTTAAACAGTGGTTATCAGAAGCATCTAATGTTCTATACATGGATACTTTTTTTTATACATTTTTTAGAGGAATTCAATAAAGGTGAGCTGGGAGAAGACTACTAGTTTCTTTCTTGTGATAATTAATTATTGATGAAACATTTTATTTATTGAAAAATCTTTATAAATGTAGATAGCAAATTAAATATTTGTGTTTATAAGAGTAAACATATTTACATAATTTGAGTTGATACGTACAAAAACTAATACCCGCTTTAAATCTTAAAAAACAAATTTTGAATACTGAGAATCGCCTGATGATTAAATTTATTAAATATTTATGTTTTTAATAAAGTTATTTTATCACATAACTAAAAAAGTAAATAAATATTCACATTTCTAGAAAACCTCGAGGAATTATATAAATATCCAGGTCGTAAATTACAATTTAATTCTTTTAGAGTTTTATATGTTATTAAAATCCTCTAAAAAAATTAACCTATTTTCTGAAATTTTTCTCTAAAATGTATTATTTAGAAAAATATCAATTTGTAAAACATAAAAACGACAAAAATACCGTTTTTCTAATATACCTATGAAAATATGTATAAAATTTAAGACAGACTTTAGGGATTCTGAATAAAGGTCTAAATAAAACGGAACACTTCCATTTTAAATTATAATTAATAATTAATCAATAAATAAAACAGGGTCTGACATACTATAAACACTTTTGTAGAGCCCACAAAGAAAATAAAAACTATTTCTGAATATTTAATCAATTAAATCCAAATAAACTTTTGAAAGAATGTGGAAAAATTTAAATGCCCATTTATTTCAAGTTTAAGAAATATACTGCCCCGAATTTAGAGTAAAATTATCAAAATATTAACTCAAAAAAGAAAAGATATTCCTTATGGTGTATGTAATGTAAACATGACAGCACTGGACCCTTTTTAATTGATTGAACATCCCACCGATAGATAACCCTGTTAGTTTTTTATTTATTGCCAGGAAAAAAGAACATTTGGAAACACTTTATTGTTCATTGATAATCAATTAAAAAAAAAAAGTAAAAGAGTGCTATATACGATGGGAGAAAAATACAAGTGATGATTAACAACTCTAAAGAAAATATGACTACGAATTCTTTTTATTGAATTAATATTTTGTAGCAGTCTGTTTTAGATTGGTTGGGATACTGGCAATGTAATACATTTACATAATATTTGCTACCCTATAATATAAATAATTAACTGGTTCTGTACGCAACAGGACTTATAACTTTACATAAAATTTAAGGAGATGAAGGTATTCCATTTTCGACATTTTCCTTTTCTTGCTCTTTCTTCCTTCTGATGCAAGGAACAAACGTCCATAAGCTTGCTCCACATGTTAAGGCTATTCCAAGGCATATGAAAAGTGACACGTACGACTTCACACGTTCATACCATAATCCACATAGCGGAGGTCCAATCAGTTGTAGAATACCATTAACGAACAGGCCCATTCCGTAAGTAGATTGCAGACGTTCTTCTCCGAGCATGTCGGCCATAACTATGGCTGTGATCCCTACGTAGGTCCCAGAAGCCAGACCGAAGAGTGAACAAAAAGCTGCTATTGCCCAGTAATTGAGGAACAAAGGCATTAAACCTAATGAGATTCCTGATATAAATAGCCCCCCAACAAAGTAGTAACATTTAGGAAAAGATGTCAAATCTGACAATGCAGAACCACCAATTCTGCCTACTAAATCCAGAGCTGATACTATGGAGAGCAACATAGCACCCTGATCTTTATCGAAACCCAAGGTTTGGGCGTAAGATGGCAGTAGAATGATAAAATTTGTATAACTAATAGCATTAGTAGCATTTGAAATCAGAATAATTAGGTAAACAGGGTGTTTCAGGAGGCTTAAATCTAGTAGCTTAGGTCTCGTCGGTTCCTCTTCTTTTGCAGCTAGTTTAGACTTTGTAGAACGAAGACTAAAAGAGCTAGCAAATATCTCTGGTTGTAGAGTTAAAGTGCTGCCATGGTATGGTGTGCTTACATACTGAAATGAGCTGGTTGAGGTGCTTCTACGCGGAGCTATTGATCTGCGCCTCGTGCTTGGAAGACGGGTGTGTGAAGACATATCCATCATTTGGCTACCTTGTTGGTTTTCTAGAACGACTTGGTGTTTTAAGTTGCTATTCATGCTTTCCCTTCCTCTTGCCTTCAACATTTCCTGCCGACCTTGAGGCATACTAATTTTACGTTCTCGTTGATTCGATTTTAAATTTTGCATCGCGACACTAGAAGCGCTTCGGTTAAAGTTTCCAGTTGAATTTTCTATATGTTCTAAGAATGAATCGTTATGGGGAATATTCTGAGTCGATGGGAAGATATCCTCTTGGCTTATAGAGAATTTGGCTCTGTTGGCTTCTTCTTCTTCGGCTGATATTACGCGTTCTCTTTTCATATGTAACTCTACTCTATCATAGAAAAGAGCTGCAACGAATACGTTAAGGGTAACTCCACCCATGAGTAAAACAGCTCCTCTATAACCGTAAGTTACCATCAGAACTCTGAGTAAAGGTGGTATAATAATAGAGCCGAATGCGGAACCAGAGATACATATACCATTAGCTACACCTCTTAATCTCATAAAATAACTACATACTATGTACACTGTAGGAGGGAATGACAATCCAGCACCAATTCCTACTAGAACTCCGTAACTGACATAGAGGAAGTAAACAGAGTTCGACCAAAAACTGAGAATCATCCCACCTGCTGCGCTTATACCTCCCAGAATGGTTACCACACGGTATGAGTATTTTACTGAAAGGATACTGGAAATTGGACCTGAAACAAAAGTACATAGGCATGATTAAATTTCGATTTCAAAAGAGCTCTGTCCTTCTTCAGATCAGTTATTTCACTGATAAGACTTGTAAATCTGAATATGCTTGGCACCTTAATAAAGTAAATTGAATTTTGTTACTTATTTAAACTTTGAGTAGGGGTTTATAATGGGATACTGCTTGCTGTGTAAGCGCAGGACTATTCAGGGGGAATACAAGAGACTGAATTATTTTGGGCAGTGCTTAATACATACCGGACTTACCTGTTTAAACCAGACGAATAAAACCGTTGTCTGTATAAACCTTTGTACCTTAATACAGACAACGATAAGACTAATTATATAAATCTCTTTGAACACTAAAGGTGATAAGAAACTGAAGGAAAATTTTAAGAAAATTGCTCTCGTTGGGAAAAGAAGGTGTTTGTACGGAATAACAAAGTCGTTGGTTCAATTCCCACCGGAAGCGAATTTGTTCCTGGATTTTGTTCTCAATTTATAACAGTTTATGTCCAGCTAAATTCTCCTTCTTTATGTTTAATTTCCTAATTTTATTTCTTTTGTTTCTCAAACTGAATAATAAGTATTTGATTCTCTTTTTTGTTAAATTAATGGAAGAAGGCATAATACATATTTATTAAGAATTGACCTCAGACAAGAAAATTGGAAAAATCTAATCTGGATAATTATGAATTATGATTAAGTTGTCACTTTTTGATTGAAAAACTGGAAATCTAGGGGGAATTAAGTTTTTTTAGCCATTTTTCAGCATACGAGATCATGTTGGCACACTATTTGTGTATTGTTAAAGCCGATAATAACCTTTTAGTTCAGTTTTAAAAGTATAATTAAACATTTCAAGCAATATTCAAATTTGTAAGTCGCGTGAAGCAACTTCTTTAGAGAAAGATAGAGCTATGTTAAAGATTTTCTTTTGTCATACCGGATATGTTTCTGAATTCAGGAGCCAAATCCCGTCTGTGGAAAATGATAAATTAGTACCCCTTACTTTTCTTTAACTCAATTCGTCCAATATTAATGGAGTCAGGTGGCTATAGGGGGAAATTAAAAAAAACGATTTCTTTAGTAGGTATTCTCGGTTTACGATTGAATTGGAAATTTAAAAAACGAAGTAGTGGTAATTTTTGAAAGTGTTTCTTACCTAAGGAACTATATAAAAAGTAACAAAGGGCTGGTATCCACATGCCCTCGGCCGGTGTCGATTCAAACGCTTCCATGAATTCAACAAATAGTACTCCGAACGATTTGATGGTTCCTGGTACAAGAATGTTGACCATAGTGGCTCCAAATAGTACCAGCCATCCCCATCCCCCGTCAGGTGGCACCAGTTTCCACTTTTCCATTTTTTTACCATTCTTTTTGTGGTCTAGTAGCACCACACCTGAAAGTAAACGTCTTACAGTCATACATATAGTTCAGTGCTAATATAATTTGTACACAGATGTGAATATATTAAGTAAATTTTGTGAGGAACCCATTAATGGCTTTTAAATAAGTGTTTATGGGTTTTTTGTTCTTATAATACATTACCGTACTTAAAAGTTTTTATTAAGGATTAAAGAAAGGATATATAAAAACACTACCTACTATATTTGTGAAAATACATTCTTTACCACAGAAGGGCAGCTAATACCATACTATTAATTATTAATATTTTCATTAAATAATAATAACAACATACTCAAAATTAGTTGGGAGTAAAACTACTCATTATAGTCACCTTAAAGACGTCTTAAGACATATCATAAACACGTTTATCATAATATATGATAGCTACTGGCTTAAAATACACACATACGTATTTTTTATTTACAAGACACTACAAGACGTTTTTGTTAAAAAAATAATTTTGCATGTTTCCTTGGAAATTACTTTTTTGTTATTAATTTATTTAACGTCGGCCTATTTCTAACTACGAGATTTAAACATCGACGAGGTAGGGATCTTTAACGAGCCCAACATCCATGGACTAATGACTTTACATCTCCTCCGAAAGATAGCACACACACGCTATACCTTGTATTCATTGATATAGCGCCTGCCAACTGAGGTATACAACTACGCAGGCAGTTTGTTTAGGCTTTTTTAGGTACGCCGACTTTCCTTGGATAGTCACACATCTAAGTACCAACTGCGAGTGACCCTGCGATACCCAATAAGTAAACAGGCTAAGCCGGGCTGCGCAAGGTAAAACAAAAAATAATGCAGTTAATTACAGGAAAATTTTAAAAACGTACGAGTCCAAACTTTTTTGTAATCGAGTTCTTTTTAGTTGGAATAGTTTACCTCCGAGTGTTTTGTTTGCGCCCAGTCAGTAAATGTGTTAAAAATCGACTTGATCAATCTTTTAAGGAGAAGTAAACGTTTATTTTTTGTTAGTAATTTCTTATTTGCTAATTATTACTTTTTAATTTACTCTGTCTTTGTTATTTAACTTTGCAATATTGGGCTTAATATAGTTCATTCCTCAGCCTTAATTTATTTGTAATAATTTCCTGTTATAACCGGATGCAAGACCATTGAAGGGAAGTATTAATATTATGAAAAACTGTTGGCCATGTGCATGCCTGTCACTACGTTTAAAGGCTGTTAAATTGCTACAACAGAATGTTTGTTGGGATTGTTTAAATGTTTCATATGATCTGTAATAAAGAAGAAATATTTGTGTTGTTAGATGTTAGGCACAAACATATCTTCATAGCTCAGTAACTTGTTAACTGACGATGTGGTTGGCCTTATCAAGTCTTTTTTACCCACAATTAAATGACATGAAAATAAATTACAAAAATAACTAAAAGTTAGTTTTTTTCAAATACATACAAATGTCACATGTTTATGTTAACGTATTGTCCTCTTGTCCACGGCAAAAATAATATTAAGCCGTCCCTTCCCCACACAAGCTCAGTCGGCTTCAGGGATTGAAATTCACTCGTAAGATGGTGAAATTAGGGAGAGTTATTATTCTATAAAGGACATTTTAGTAAGTTACGCCTAGTGCAAATAGACAAAAACCTTTATTTCCTATGAGTACCTACTCTGGTGCACACCTGTTTTAACATAATATTAAATCTCAAGTAAGATTTAGAACGGATGACCTTTGAATAAAAAATAATAGTTTATTGTTGGAATTTTACACTCTTATCATTAACACCAATAATAATAATGTTTATGTAAATTATTTATGCATGTTGTTTGCATAATACCAAGAAAAAATAATTATTGTATAATTGCTAATTACAGCTTGATTGGAAAATAACAGTATGTCTAGGACGAATGGAAATCCCTAGCAACTTGTTACGGTTTGGCAAGTAATTAAAACTTTACTTTTAAACCTATAATGAATAACTAATGAAGTGAACCACAGGAACACTTATAAGTATGTATATCCAATACCCCATACAAATAATTATATGAACGCTAGTGATTAAAAGATCCACTTCATTGATTGAAATTATTAATACTCGTATAACATATTATCTTTTCTAAAAAATAGTTAACATTTAGGATTTTAGAGGACATATATTCCAGCAATACGACTAGTTATTTGCATCGTGTGTGTGTTAAATTTAAAATACCGCTCATCAATTAACACATTAAACTCAAGTCGGATGTTTTCAGTATGTTAATTTGCCATTTGCTTAAACGAAGCAAGCTGCAAACATGATTTAATATTAAAATGGCTTTAAAAAGCAATAATTGATTGTTCGGCGGGTATTGTGAGCTTAACGAGAAAATATGGATGTAGTTTTACTGGTAATAATTATATGAGAAAAATTTATTTCGATTAAGAATAAAAATGCCACATTCTAATAAAAAAACGGTATCGTTTTCAAAAAAATGAGATATAAGTAGGTAGGTACTTATTGCAAAAAAAAATAAATATTTTATCGCCCCTGCCTCCCCTAAATGCCTGGCATTTTCACATGTGATATAGATCATTTTCTTCACCCTCATAATTTTTTAATTCTTTAAAGTGACCAGTGGCGTCGCGTAAGGGGGAGGGACACCTTCCCCTAAAGGCACTTTGAAAAGGGCGGCAGATTTTTAAAAATAATTACTTATTAAGGATATTTAGCAGTATTATTTTGATGATAAATATGATTTTATTAAGTAATTTAAATAATAATGTTCATGCACCGAGAAAACGTGGTCTATTAAACATGTTTAACAGGAAAATAAAGTTTTTCGTTAGTTTACTTGTGATAGCAATACTGATTCAAGAATAAAAGGTTAGTTGTCTCACATAGTAAGTATTTAATTATTAAAACATTTCATAGACTACTTACATTTTTAATACTCACTAGCAAAGCCTTCTCTCTGTGTGATATTCAACTAATACTAAATATTCTTAAAGTAATAATACTATTTTTGGATAACAATTGATTATTATTAAAATACCAAAATATGCTTCCACCATTAAACATTTTTTTTAAATATTAAGTTTAGGGAAAAATAAATTTTACGGGGAGGGAGGCGGCAAATGTAGCATCTGCCTCGGGCAGCAGAAAACTACGATACGCCATTGGAAGTGTCACTCCAAAAAGTAGACGAAAAATATTGAAATCTAGGACATAAACTATTGAAATAATAATTATAAAACTGTTGTATATATTATTATACTCTTCACACAGTAGTCTGTAAAGAGTATTACAGGTTTACTTTTAAGAAACCAAAATTTTTAATAATCTTCCAAATTTAAAAATTTTTGTATCAAAATCCTTCTCATCAAATTTTAAACAACTTTTGAAAATCGTCCGTCCGTCCGATGTCACGTTTGTTGTCCGCACGATAAGTCAAAAACGAAAAATGATATGAACTTTTCAGGAAAACTCAATCTCTATAAGGGTACAAAGCCTATTGATTTTGAAAAAAATTGATCAAAAATGGAGGTGTTAAGGTGAAACTTAAAAAAATAAAACAAAAACGAAAAACAATATCAACTTGAAATTTTCAGGAAAAATCAAGCTTTAAAATAGAACGAAGCCTATTCATTTAAAAAGAATCTGATTAAAAAGGGGGGGTTAAGGGGGGTTAAAATTAAAAAAAAAACAAATTAAAACGAAAAACAATATCAACTTAAAATTTTTAGGACATGTCAATTTCTATAAAGGGACGAAGCCTATTGATTTTGATAAATATGATTAAAAATGGAAGGGTTAAAGGGGATTAAAACTTTAAAAAATCATAGAACAAAAACTAAAAACAATATCAACTCGAAATTTTCAGCAAAAATCAAGATTTACAATGGGACGTTTATTGATTTAAAAAAAAAATAGGGGGGTTAAAGGGGTTGAAATTTGAAAAAAATCGAAAAACAAAAACTAAAAAAATTCAACTTAAAATTTTCAGGATAAATCAAGTTCTAAAATAGGACGAAGCCTCTTTAAAAAAAAATCCGATTAAAAATGAGGGTTAAAAGGGGGGTTGTTTAACTGTGAAGAGTATCATATAGAATGCCAAAAGCATTATCTTCATTCTAGTTTATATTTATGTTTCAGGTTTTTTTAAATTTAATTATGTATCTGGATATAAAAAAAGGTAGCACTTACTTTTAAATTATTAAGTACCTAGTGCAGACTTATGGTGAATATAAACAATAATTTTTTCGAACTGAACATTTTCTGATTTAAACAAAAAATAAACAGAGATTGAAAATACATATTGTGTCATGGTCAGAACAGCTGACCGAGAAAAATCAATATCACAAAAGCGGCAAATTTGACTGCAAGTTCCAGCTAGACCAGCCAATAATCGGATGGTCTCAAAACCACTGAAGGAACGTATGGGCCTAGGACCAAGTGCTCTGAAACTAGTTAAATTTTCTTAGTAAAATAAGATTGGAATGGTCATTACAGACGTGGAAACTATTCCCTTGCCTCCTTAGCGACAGATGGAGGTAAATGATATCCCATAATTACGTAACATGCCGGGAGTTCCTCAAAACACATTCTTAAGGCCATTATTATAAAAGATTTATACTAATAATTATTCAACGAATTCAAAGAGATTTTCTATAAATAGCGCGTTGTAATAAAATTTTTGTACTTATTGCTTTATGTCCATATACATTTATTAATACAATTTGGTAGTTGTGTATTGCTAATATTGGCTAATATTCTATGTATATCTTAGTCTATATATAATATATTTTAGTGTTTAAATATTGAGTATATAATGTACTCCAACTGCAATTATTTTTATTTAAAATTGCTAATGCAATGTAACTATTCGATACAATGCATTAAGTCATTAACATATAATAAGAACTTGTGATGTTTTTATTGAATTAAACATTGAAATAGTAAATATTTGTGTAATAAAAACAATGCAACTTAATAGGGAATTAGGGTCAAGAATGTATGTTCTTATATATACACAAAA